GAAGGCACGTGAAAGCGTGGAGTAAATTACGTTATATACTACTCGTTCAAGGATTTTAGCCGCGGTGTTCAAAATAGAAATGCCTCTATAATTATTTATTTCTGTACGTGATCCCTTCTTGTGTACAGGGATTATGTGTGCACACTTCCATTGATGCGGAAATATCCCTTCACGTAGAGAGCGATTAAATATAATAGTCAAGGGGAGAGCAAGTGATTTAGCGCATCGTGACCAAAAAAAAGAAGGTAACCCATCACTACCGGCACCTTTGTTCGTGTTCAAAGTTTTCAACATTTTTTCAATTATTGCAGCGTTTGTCTGTACATTAGAAACGGTGTCAGTACACAACGATTCCGTATGTGGATATATGTAGTTATTACTAGGAATACCAAATACACTCTTGAAGAATGAGTTGAAAGCATTGCATATGTCCATACCATCGGTGTACTCTATATCTTTCAAAGACATTTTCTTAGGGTAACCTGACCCACCCCGAATGGCTTTAACGAAAGTCCAGAATGTTTTAGGATGTGTTTTGATGCTATTTTCACAACTTGACGTAAATTTATTAAAGCATTCTCTCTGAACACGGTGTTCTCTTGCTCGGAGTAACGAAAACTCATCGTAATCTAATCTATTCCTGAATTTTTTCCAACGTGTGTGAGCATTGTTTTTCTCCTTAATTATTTTTATTAAAGCAGGTGTGTACCATTTAGGATATGATCGCTTCCCTGTGTTATAACTAAAAGGCACATGTAAACGAACACAACTATCCAGTATGTTATAAAAGGTATTTGTAGCTTCGTCTACAGTGCCTGTACATAAAAGAGACCTCCAGTCCTGTTCTAAAAGATATGTATTAATTTTTTCATAATCAGCCCTCCTGAAATTTCGCCTCGGCGCAGCTGTTTCCCGTAGAGGAGTAATGTTTAAATCCAAAACTGAAGCAAAAAGAAGGATGTGCGTGGTCCTCCCTGAGTAGCGGCGCAGCCGCAGGGATGATATTCAGAGGTAGATTAGAGAATGCAAGATCTAATGTGTTACCAGCATGATTTTTTAAAGTATTAAATTGTCTTAACCCGTGAAATGTTAGTGTTTCCATAAGCTGGATACTCGCTTCTTGTACCTCAGTAGGCCCTTTTTTCAAAGCTGTATATCCGTTTGGGTTCCAAGAAATGAACGGCAAGTTGAAATCTCCTAATATTACAAAATTATCATTTGGAGAAAGCTCGATAACACTATTAATTTTTTGTTTAATAAAAACGAGATCCGATGGCATTTGATGAGGGTCAGGGGCAATATATGCCACACAAATATGTAAGTTGGAATTTGAAGCGCACGCGCTTGAAGGAATAGTAATCCACAATAGCTCAGTAAGACCGCATTCGCCGAGGTCACGATACATGGCACCGAGTGTACGTCGTGTCATTATTAATACTCCACCACCAGTACTTTTACCACTATTACGCAAATCTCTGTCAGCCCTGAACACGTCATACCTATCGTCGCACAATTCACCATCAAAAATTCCACTGTGTAGCCATGATTCTGTCATAATTATAATGTCGTAATCGTTCGTCAAAATATTTAGTCGTAATTCAAGACATTTAGTCCTAAGACCACGAACATTCTGATAATAACAGTACAAATTATTTACAGCCATTAATCAAAATCAAATATGTACCCAATTGTGTTAAATTTATAGTACTTTAAAGCTACACAGAGTAACAGAACTAATAATTTGTTTACGTTAGACTTAAGTAGTACGAACAATGATATATCACTTCGGCAGTTGCTAGTTAATAGTGACTTGATTTTTTGTATAAGGTGGTAGAGTATAAAATGTATCAATAAGATATAACAGAATGAATCCTTAAACGATTTGATTAATATAGTCGAGTCAACATAAAAGGGTGCGAGCTTATAAATATGCAGAGCAGTTATTAAATATATATATAAATATCGCGAATGTAACAATATAGACGTTTTAAGTATTGTTGTTAGATTTAATAAATAAATATTGAACGGGTAATTATTATGAATAATAACAATATAATAGATGAATTCATAGATTGACAAAGTAAAATAAATTAATACATAATATACAAGACGCCAGAAAAAATATAATTGGTATTTTATTAAATATAAAGGATATAGTAAAAGAAACCATAATATATATATAGTTGAGTAACGTTCGTGAAAAATATGGATGCAACTTAGCTGCACAATTATCGCGCGTGTGACTAATACACTTAAGACCAAAAATATTTCATTAATTGAGCTCCCTTTACGTGCGGTCAAACAATGATATATAATATAGACAAAATGAGATAAGAGAGACCAATGAATTGCTTTTACAACGATGGAATTGATAAATTTAAGCAATATAACGTACTTGAAAAGAGAACAAAACAATATACAATGTAAGATTAAATTAATTTTAAAACGTCTCTTTCCTGTGATATATGCAAAGCCGGAGATGTGTCGTTCTTCCTGACGTAGATCCTCCCGTTTTTTGTCCACACATATTGATACTGCTTAAGTTTCGCCGTCTCCCTACATTTCTTTAGTAGAAGTTTATTGCACTGTGTAAGATGCTCATTGACATATACGGGACGAACGCTGCCATGTATGGCAAGGTCTTTCGGTTGGTGGTCAGTCGGTTTTTTCGAGTGCCAGAGATTATGTTGTCCTTTAGAAGACGGGATTTAAGCTTTGCAATTATATTTTTCGGGCGGCCCTGTTGTTTGATTTTCGGTGTGACACGATTAACTTCTAATATATCATTAGGGGAAATAGTTACATTAGACTGCTTAGCAATGGATATAATTAAATTGGTTAAGTCTTCATCCTTGATTTCAGGAACGCCGACGATCTCTAAGTTCAAAAGGCGATCTCTTTGATTATTTGTGTTAATTTCCAATTGTAATAGTCTGTTTTCGTTAGTCAATAAGTCCATTTTAGATTCTAGTGATTCGATTGCTTTTTTGTTAACAGATAATAATTCCATTTTCTTTTGAACATGGTCATATTGGTCGCAATTGAATTGTACAGAGTTTTCTAAAACTGTGATTTGCTTCATTGTCTCGTTGTACTTTAGGTCAAGAGATATGACCGACTTTTTAATCTCGTGATATTCCTGACGGACGCTGCTTAGTTCCGACATGATCTCAGCAAAGGATGCATTTAGTTTCTCAAGATCGGTTTTTAATACGAAGTCTAAATTATTTTTAATTCCTGATATTTCATCTTGAATTTCCTTTTTCCAGTCATGTAAAGTTCTACGTATCTCTGAGGTAAAATTATTGAGAGCCTCTGAGAAGTCGTTGTCGTGTTTATGCTTTCGAGTAGTCATATTGCTAGGCTCACCTGATTTATTGATGTCAGGGTTGGAATTGTAAGGCTTGCGTGGCGTGGAATCTTTCCTTATATGAGATAATACACAATCTGCCACTTTCTGATTTGGTTCGGCAAACATCAAAATCCGGCGGTGTTCACGAAAATGTCCGTTTTTCACTCCTAAAATTTTTTCGTGAAATTTGTGCTCATAGAAATTTACACCACTGTATAAAGCATCCTTTTTCGCATCAAATGTATAATTATATATAAAATAATATTATAATAAATAGTTATTTTAAACGATATATTTCAAAATATGGACAATTGTCACCTGTCACTTTTCTTCTTTTTTAATAAGAATAAAATAATTAATAAATTAATTTAATAATTAATATTAAAATTAAATTAAATTAAATTATTATTAAAATTAATATTAATAAATAATTTATACAAAGTTGCATCACCCTGGGCCAGAGTGGCCAAATTAAAAAATTTAACCAGGAAGTCAATATTTTCTTTAAGAAGTTTAAGCACCTCTATGTGAATTAATGAAAATGGTTTAGATTGTTTTTCTTTTTTATTTAACGTGCCGTGTGAACTTTAAGAGTCATGTTAACTCGTCATTTGAGTCGAGATGAAATGTTACGAACCGTGGGCAATTTAGAAGATGGTGCTATTCAACGCGTAGTTGCTGAGACCCTACACACTAGCCAAAACGTGATATTAAGGTTGTGGTAACGTTATCGCAGTACTGGAGATGTGGCTGAACGGCAACGGTAGATATCGTGTTACTACGCAGAGACAGGATCGATTTCTCTTGATGACCGCCAGAAGGCAACCCAATATCACAGCAATGCCACTACTACAAAAGCTCCAGGAGGACCATCAGCTGCTGGTAAGCGACCAAACACGCGTTTGGAGAACTCCAGGGAGAGTTATTCGTCTACGGCACCATAAGGATGTCCACTCATACCAAGGCGGGACAATCACGGTGTGGGCAGGAACTCGACTTGGCGGACGAACCCAGTTCGTTTGGATCCAAGGCAGCATGACTGCACAAAAATAGCACGAGGAGGTAGTAGAGCTTGTCATTGTCCCACACAGAATCCAAATGAGCCAGAAATTTCTACTCGTGCACGATAATGCTCCTTCCCATACGGCGCGTCTGGTGTCGGCCGCTTTCCGAGATTACAATGTTCAAGTTTTGGATTGGCCTGCACAGTCGCCCGACTGAAATCCTATCGGGCATGCCTGGGACATGTTACAACGAAAAGCTTTGAGAGATTTCCCGCTAAATTTGACGACGGCACAACAACTTTACGAACACTTGCAAAGAACATGGGACCTCATACCGGAGCAAGACATTGAATTTAATTTTAAGTATGGACAATCGATTTTGATGTGTAGTTAATGTATGAGGTGGCAACACTGATTTGAATAATTAGATTTTATAAGGTTTTTTAAATTTTAATTAAAATTAATAATTTTATAAGAAATGAAGTTTTTTTTTATCGTACTATTTTTCTACGGCGATTAAAAAAATTAACTTTTTTATTTAAAACAAAAAAATTACGAAATGTTCTTCATAGATTTTTAGATATTTGATGAAAAATATCCCTAGATTCTGTTGATGTGTTTATATTTGATATTCATTGTTTCAGGACCCCGCTTGTCAGATGGAGATACTAGAATTCATTAGCGGTCAGTTGCAATCAGGCGCGCTGCCACTCGATCAGGAAGTTATAAAAGGCGTTCAAGAATTAGCAACAACGATTACTAGCGAACGGTCTGACCGCGCTTGGATAGCTCTAATGAAGCGCCTTCGTTCACAAAGAGAGCATTCGCTTGCTAACTATCAAAGTGCAATACAAAGACCCCGAATACAATGGCGATTAGACGTTCTACTTGATTGTCACGAGAAAGCTTTAGAAGAATTTTTCAAAATTGAGAATCCATCCTCAATGGACTTTTCAGAATTTTTCGAATATATACGATCAAGATTCGAAGTAGACGGCAACATCAAAGCTCGCTTACAACCATATCTGCAATCACTTATCAAATTACGTCCGCAAGCGTCGGCGGCTATAGTTAAAGACCATTATGAAAGCTCTATTAGTTCTATATTAAGTTCGTTAGAGAGGGAATGCGTTTTGGAATTCGGTGATTGTCTTCTCGATATGGCGTGCCTAAGTGGCGACGCCGCTGCCATTTACTTACGTAGCCTATGTGTACTGCGTCCCGCAGATGTGAAAATCTTCTTAGAAAATAGTACAGGTATTGTACGTCCGGAAGACGCCTTAGAGATAGTCAAAGAATTAGGTCCGCGTGATGCCGTACCCTTCTGTCTCGAAGCTACCGGCGACCCTTCCGGTGCACTGGATGCGCTTCTAGATATTATAACGTCGAATCACGAAACCAAAGCGAAACACATCGCCGAGGCGTGCGATCTGTGCGTTCGAGTGGCACCGACAGTTCCTCCCGACGTCTCCGCCGAAATGTGGACGCGATTGCTACGTCGCGTGGACGAAGTACCGCCATCGCTATTGTTCGAGGCTATTGCGTACCTGCCGATCGACGAATTGTTGGTTAAAGCCTGCGATTCGCCGAAGGTCGCGTTGACGATTCTGGAGAGCGGCGCGGGGAGGATGCGTGTCTGGGCGTGTGCGAGGCGAATAGCCGAGCGGGAGGCACACGGGGCGTTAGCCATGGCTTTAGCGGGGGCTCGTCGCGGCCTGCCCGTCAGAGGAAAGTGTCTCCGCTGCGGCGAAAGCTTGGCCGCACGAACCGCCGCCCGCACCGCGCACTGTGCGCGAGCCTTACACGCCGACTGTGACGTTGAAACCACGTGCCAAACGTGCGGTAAACAAATCCCATCCACTGTATACATCCTGCCGCCTATAAATAGTCGCCCGACCACATCAGCACCTCAAGAATATCCCCTATCGTTGATAGCCCCGCCCAGACCCGACCTTGAGGGTGTTGCGTGAAATATTTACTTTGAAAGTATTTGTATTAATTTACTTTATTGATATATAATATATAGATATATAAACGTATACAAAGAAATTTATAACCTTAATAAAAATATTCTATATCGTAAAAGTTTTTTCTAACCTATAATATATTTCGGCACTGCTTTAATATGATTTAAAATACGTTAATCTTTATATTTGTGTTTAGTTTTGCAGTGAACTACCGACGTGAACTACTACTAATTACTACCGCGTGTGAACTGCGCACATGTTTTTTTTTTTATGTATTTATGCGCTATTCTCATTTGGTTGGTCTTCATAAATATATAAAAGGAAATTGTAAATATTCTATTCTATATTGTAATATTTTCATTGTAGCACCTTTTATGTCCTGTAGAGACTAGTTAGCACAACCCTAAGAACCTAATAAAGTAATAGTGCTTATCAGCACGCTTTTGAAGAGAAGATACTTCTTAGTTTATGCCTTTATTTTAATCTAAATACTGTATTAAATGCCTAAACTCTTTAGTCTCCAATGTGCTGTAACATAAACTGATAAGCTGAGTAGTGGCAAGGCTTAGAAGCCATGGCTTGCTCACCCACTATAAACTTAGATCAATTAAGCTGCCTCTGCGATACCTGCATGGGCGAGCCATGTGGGTCCCTTATATAGCTCGCCCGAGGCTGCTTGATTCGAGTGTTGTAGGTAGTCACTTATAATCAGTTGGACCGTAACATAAGCGATGTAATGTTATGTGTTGGTATGACGAGGCGCCACTTGTCCTACACTCAGAGACTGGAGGGATGTCAGGTTTCTGTCGCTAAATAGTAGTGCGTGTACCGCTGTGTTCCAATTTGAAGGGTATTAAGACTAAGTATATTTACATACAGGCCATGAGGCATTCCATCTTAGTCCCCAAATGTGACAACGCAACTGTAGCCTTCTTTATTTAAAGTCGGCCGTCCATGTATATGGGTTGAGTAACCACTTACAATCAGTTGGATTGTAAGATCGATTGTCACTTCAACTTTATAAAAATTAAGAAAATTTTAAAGTTGTATTATTGTAACAACTGATGATAAACCAATTAAAAATTCAGAGAAAATAGCGCCTTAATAATAGATCGATTAGATGGAGGAATTGTCCACCTCAGAGGACGTACTGCAATGGGACGGCCGGCGCTAGTGATACTGTGGATGTGTGCGAAAGCGTTCCTGTCCCTGCCTATCAGTGTTATCGTAAAAATCTGAACTGCCATACCTATGTCACAGAATACCAGTATGCTTTTAAATGGGGAAGAGCTGAGTTGAGAGCTGCTTGAATCCAATGTTTTTCTTGGGATTATAGTTGAAACGTAGTTTCAATGTGGCCTTCATATATCTAAACTAGCTAGCAAACCTAGTTCTGCAGCATGTGCTGTTAAAAATATTAGAGTCCTTACATGTGTTGAAACTTGAAACAGCAAGATTAGTTTATTTTAGTCATTTCCATAGCATAATATCATATGGAATCTTGCTGTGGGGTAATGCGACTGACATTGAAACTATCTTTGTTTGGCAGAAGAGCCATACGAGCAATTTATAACCTAGGTCCGAAGGAATCCCTTAGAGAAAAATGTAAATAAATAAATATATTAACTTCGGCCTCTCGATATATTTACGACTAGCTGTGTCCCGCGGTTTCACCCGCATATATCACGCTTCTGCGCCTCGCGACCCGCGAACTTTGAGACAGACATCACGATGGCTGAATTAACAAAGATTTAAAAAGTGAAAATTGTTACTTAAATAAATTACATAGTTAACGATATAGCCTTGAATACGAAGTGATTTATTTGGATATAAGGACTAATACCAAGGTACGAATAATGTGGCCTAGTTTGTACCGGCATTACTATTACATATTTTAACATGAAAAGTAGTTATTGTGACATAACCGTAATAGTTAGACATATGATATTGGAGGTTTTTTTGTAGATATTGATGTCCTCTATAAAAATGTAGTACATCACTGCTCTATTGTCAATAGTTTCCGCAGCGTACGCGATATAAGGATTCTTTTTAGTATTTTTTTCACACCTTGGGTTACATTAACGAAGTTTTCATACGGATACCTAACTTTCTTGAAAATATTCTATCGCCTATTTGCATCAGAGATAATGTAGAATTTTAATGGCGAAAGAATTTATCAAATCGGTCCAGTAGTTTCAGAGTCTATTCAATTCAAACAAATCTTTCCTCTTTATAATATTAGTGTAGATAAATTTTATTCACAGTGAACGTGGGAAGCACTACACTCATGAACGGGAGTAGAAAAATGTTCGCCTTGTTGTGGCGGTGAAAGAGAATCCGCTACCTCATATCGTCCCGTCGTAACAGGCGACATAGGAAAACAAACAGGAGATGGGCAGCATCATCTTCTTGACAACAAATCAAAATAATAATAGCTGCAGCTGCCAACCATGGCAAAAGCGTGGCAACTATAGCAACTACCTACTAACTAAATAACAACTATCTAAATACTAATCTTTGCAACCCTTAATATTTACGGTAGTGTGAAAACAAAAAAGTAACATACCCGAAAACATGAATGAAATAAAAACTGCATAATATATTGCCCCATGAAAAGTAAAAAAGTAGCAGCTTACATACATGTTACTACTGGGCACAGGTCGCAAAGAGTTTTTGGCCAAAAAAGTGTTCGCTGCGCTGATTCCAACGCGGGGCGACCTCAACTGGGGAACTTCTCAGATATGCAGGTTTTCCTTCACCGAAGAGAAGGTAGTAAATTGACACTTCAAATTGCAATTAAAATGTATGCTAAAATTTATAATAATGCTTATGTACCATGATTTTTACTTTTAATCAGTTCGATGTCATACTTTGACAAGAAAAATAAAATAAACCTTTAAGTCTTTCCGTAAGAGCCTGTTCATTTACATATTATACTCATATGAGCTATGAAACCAGGACTGCCACAATTATCTTAATATGTCTGAAAATATGAAAGCTTTTTTAAATACAATTCATAAAAACTGAAACTAAGCTTTTGCATGATTGTTGACCACATCTACCTAGTCAACCAACGATGTCACGAACAAATTTTACTTATTTACATTGTATTTTCAGTAGCATTCTATTATTTAATTTTATCAGTGACTTACCATTATAGTTTATTTAGAAGTAAGTAGATGGCGCTATTATTAAATGAAACAATGAAAGTCAAAATTATACTATCTAGTAATATCAGCGACAGAAGCGAAAAATAATTTATTTATTATATCAATAAGGCATAAAGTGATGTCAATTCTGTTAAAAGTTCTGCTTCTGTAAAAAATACGCTATCAGCGCTGCTAGCGGTCAAAAACGATTTAAGAATATCGTCATATGACTATAATATTGTTACGAGCTTGGGGTTCGAGACAATTAAAAACTGCCGATTGAATTACCAAAATTGACACTTTAATTACACAACACTAATTATAATCTAAAATCACACTAATAATAAAACACAGTTCGCCGTTATTTCGCTTCGAAGTATTCTCTTGTATCGCCAATTCAATACTGCCTCGGTCTAGGTCTATACCGGCCTTATATAGGGCCTCAGATAGTTTCCAGAATCTTCTACTGTAGCGACATCTAGAATGTTCGAGTACATATCGGTCCCGAAATTTTTGGAAGGATCTTGACTCTCCTAGTTCTACTACTCGACACTAGAGGGCGCTAGTGTACCTAGTGTTGCCATGTACAAGACATTAATAGTGGCGCGCAACACTGCCCCCTCCTAAGACATGCTCGTCCCGAGCATTATTGGCCCCATAATAACGCGCCAGTCGATCTACATGGACAATCTTAGGAGTACCTCTGGCACCTTTCTGTATCCGGTAGGTTACGTCATTGATCCTTGTCACAGTCCGGTACGGTCCGTCCCATTTAGCTTGAAGCTTAGGAGATTTCCCTTTGCTGCGAACTGGATTGTGTAACCACACTAGAGAACCTTCATCAAACCCCTTGTTGTTTATTTTGCGGTCATACCGTGTTTTCATCTTCTCAGACGTTTGCTGGCCCGTCTGTCTGACGTGCTCATAAATGTCATTCATTTTGTTCCGCAAGTCATTTGCATAATCGGTTATACTGCGTGGGGCATCTGGTGGTATTCCGGTGATCAGGTCTGCAGGCAGCCGTAATTCTCTCCCAAAGTTTGCGAAAGCTGGCGTCAATGATGTACTTTCGTGAACAGCGCTTCGATATGACAACAAAAACGGTTGTATGTGCCTGTCCCAGTCTCGTTGCCGTTTTTCCACAACTTTTGCCAGGTACCTTTCCAATGTCTGATTAAATCGTTCTACCATTCCATCAGATTGTGGGTGGTAAGAAGTTGTTCGTGTTTTATGAGTACCCATAACTCTGCAAGTTTCCTGGAATATTTGAGACTCGAAATTCCTTCCTTGATCGCTGTGAATCTCTAAGGGTACTCCAAAACGACAGAAGACTTCATGAACTAGTTTATCTGCAACTGTTGAAGCTTCTTGATTTGGAATGGCGAAGACTTCTGGCCACTTAGTGAAGTAATCCATCACAACCATGAAATACTTGTTACCACTTTCACTTTCCGGAAACGGCCCCGCAACGTCAATGGCTATCCTCTCCCATGGTGCACCAACATTGTACAATTTCAATGCGCCTCTACTACGAATTTGAGGTCCCTTTACAGCCGCACAACTTGTACATTTGCGGCACCAGTCCTCGACATCGTCACGACAGTGGACTCAGTAAAACCGTTCTCGGATCTTCAGGAGAGTTCGTTTAACTCCCAGGTGGCCTCCTGAAGAACTACTATGGTACAGTTGTAGAACATCCGGTACTTTAGCCTTAGGGACAACCATTTGCAAATGACATCTGTCTCCCCGACCATTTTCCCATTTACGGCACAGGACTCCATCCTGAATCAGCAAGCTGTCCCATTGGGCCCAATAGCTTTTCGTGGTCGAACTCATTGCTGAGACGTCGCTCCA